TACTGTGGATCAAGCAACAATTAGTAGACTTTGGTATAGAAGTGGGATGCATACCAATATTCTGTGATAACACTAGTGCTATAAGTATGACAAAGAACCCGGTTCATCACAAAAGGACTAAGCACATAGATGTTAGACACCACTTCTTAAGAGACAACTATGAAAAAGGGCTAATCTCCATAGAATTTTGTGTTACTGATAAACAAATAGCTGACATCTTCACTAAGGCACTGAGTAGAGAAAATTTTGAAAGGAACAGGTTGGAGTTAGGGATGATTAAGATCACCTAAAAGGTCCAGTTCAGAAAGCACAAAGAAAAAAAATTTGGCTAGGAGTTCTTTATTTTTGTGAATATTAGACTAATTTCTACTCAGTCTCATACTGTAAATAGTATACTCTTGTGACATGTGTCTATGCAATTCACTAATCTCTTACAAATTTTCTATTTTGACATTTGAGGCATAATCAAGAGAAGTTTCACTTGAAGAACCTGGTTCATCGAATTATGCTCATAAGAAAGTTCAGGTATGTTTCTATTCTTTGCACAATTAGAAAAATTTAATTATCAATCATGAGCAAGAGTCCTAGATATACTAAACGTCCTAACAATTCTATCCGTTGGGTCAATTGAACCATTTTCATTGAAACTAGAAGTCTAAATATAACGACACCTTCTCCTAAATTCTAGTAATTCAAGTTAATCTCTACGGAGACCGGAACTCTAAATTGATTAGACCTCTATGTGACTACTGAAAAGGCTGCAGTTTCTGAGTAATAATTACCCTCTTTAAAAACCCCAAACCACTCAATAATCATCAATTCCTCACAAAACCCCTGATAATTCTCTCTCGTCTCTGAAACTCTCCAAAGCTCTTCACACCACCAAAATTCTCTTAGGGTTTTCAGAAATTCCTCGCCATGACAAATCCCCAAGACAATCCTGGCACTCCCAACACCTCATCTTCCACGCCACCAGTCGAAAACCTAAAACCTAGATTACATCGCCAGAAAATGCTAGCAAGAAAAACTGTAGCTACAGGTTCTTTGAGAAAAACTTTGAATGAAAAACTTCAGTCCAGTCAAAAGAAAGCAGGCCCAGCAGCTGAGACCAACTCTAGCTCTGAATCTGATGATTACATCTCCACCAGTGAAGGAGATGAACCTGGGTCTTCTGAACAGGCCAAAACTCAAGAAACCCAAAGAGAGGTAAAATCTTGCTATGTTTTTTCTGATGTAGTTGAAAGGGAGGAAAATTGATTTGTTCTGATAGGGGCTGCTAGAGATGTAGGTGGGACTGATTCTGGGAAAATGAGGAAGAAAAAGAAGAAGGAACCTTTAGCCATATGTGGGGGTGGGGAAGAAGGAGTCTCAAAGTCAGGGGGAAGTGGTTCAGGTGAGGCTGCTGAGGTGTTGATTAATCTGAGTAAACAACAAGATGAACCTGGTTCATCTGATGAAGAGAGTTTGGCTGACTTGTTGAAGGAAGTGGGGGCCAGCTATGACCCAAAGAAACGCAAGGCTTCCTCACAAAAGACCCCTGCTGCATCCAAACCAACCAAGAAAAGCAAACAATCACCACCCAAGTCTATTCCTAGGATTAGAGCTACTAGAAGTAGGGTCAGGGAAAGTGAAGTAGAATTGAAGAAGGCTTTAGAAGAAAGTAAGAAAAAGAGGAAAGAGAAAGGGAAAGCAAAGATAGGTGAAAGCTCGGAGGCTGTGGTTGAAGAGGAAGAAGAAGAGATGGAACAGGTCCATCTAGAAAGGAGTACTACTGTGGAAGTTCCCACTACCAAATCAGAGGGAACCAGGACTTCTGCCAAGAAGCCCTCCAAGCCAGTACCTGCTGAACATGTTCTTGCCAAGAGAACAAGGTCAGCTGCAAAAGGAAAACAAGTGAAAATTGCTGAAGAAGATGATAAATGGAGTGAGGATGAAGGAGATGAGTCAGAGAAGGAACAGGACAGATATGCCATGTTTGGCAAGAGGAAAATTCTGAAAGGGAGACTACTCAAGGACCTGGAGGAGCCAGGTATGATAAGGCTTCTGACTGCACTAGAAGCACAGGGCTGGAAGGTCATGGTTCTTCATATGGATGGAAAATTGGCCAGGAATGGACTTGTAGAGTTTATGGCAAACGGGACAGTGAAGAATGGGCTGGTGACTAGCACAGTGAAAGGTGTCAAAGTAAAGTTTAATGCTACAAAGCTGGGCAAGATTCTAGACATCCCTAGTGAGGGATATGATGATTATACAAGGAAGAGGTGGCCTTGCCTGGATGGGTTGCCTACTGATCTTCAGATCACAAGGAACTTTTGTGACACCACAACAGATGAAGAGGTACCTGAGGCCAGGGCAGTTCAGAAAAGTGAAATGAGGCAAGACCACAAAGTGCTTTTTGAATTTGTCAACAAATGCCTTCTACCCAGACAGGAAAGAAGGCATACAGCAAATTATATGGATCTGGTTCTTATGCAATGCCTGAATGAAGGGAAGCAGATCAACTGGCCTACCTTTATTGTAAAGCTGCTTGAAAGGGTACTCAATGGCTCAAAAGCTCATGCCATTCCCTATGGATTTATCTTGACAATTGTACTTGAAAGATTGAATGTTCCCCTGAAAAAGTGGGAAATGGCTTCGAGCAAAGAGCATTTTGGCAGCAAAACCCTTCAAGCTTGTGATTATATGCTCAGTACAGCTCCAGTTGAACCTGGTTCTTCAGCAAAAACTCCTGTGAATAGTAAGGTCAGAGCCTTAGTTCAGGAGGTTGGGGCAAAAGACGCTGAGATAGCAAGGCTTCAGGCCAGAGTTGCTGAATTGGAGGGAGAAAGGAATGGGTTGAGAGCTGAACTTGCTAAGGAGAAGGAGAAAAATGAAGGCATGCTTCAACAGATGCTCAATCTGCTACAAACCCAACCCTCCAGCTCTTCTAAGCCTTAGATATCCTGTCCTAGTGTGCACCAGTCTAGACCCCCTCAGTGACCCAGTTTGGGATTTTAGATGTTTATTTTCTTTTGCTCATGGTTTGGTAATTTTGTTTTTCTTCTTGTGGACTGCATTGTAGAAACACCTTGCTAATCAATGAATGCAGCTTTTCTTGCTTTTTGTTAATTCTGATCCTAATAGGTCTTTTTGTTGAGTTGATTTCTGATTAACTAAAGCATGTGTTCACTTGCAGTTGCCCCGGTGGCCATGAGTACTAATGATCACATTATTTATGCAACATTTCGATGATGCCAAAAGGGGGAAGATATTGTGCTTAAATTCATTATCTGAACAAGTGATGTTTATGACCTAACTTAAATCTGGCCTTTATGATAAGTTGAAAATTCTCTAAAAATTTTCTAAGGGTTGATATTTCAGCTAAGTTTCACAGGTTCCCTGATCACTAAAAGCACAGAGTTTGTCATCATCAAAAAGGGGGAATTTGTTGGCCCAAGTTCAGTTGAAGTTTTGAAGATTGACAAATGAACTCAGGGAAGGACCTGGTCCATCTTGGGAGACACAGTTAGTCATAACCATTGCACATGGAAGGCACGTGAGGAAGATATGTATTGAAGATTACGCAGCAAATATCTTCTGAATGAAATCGAAAAGGTTGCACTGAGTTCTAAGAAGGACAGTCTCCTTATGATAAGAGAACACAATCCTAAGCTAGGATAAGGATGGGAGTTTGTATTGGTTAAGGACTTAAATCGACTACGGATAAGCATTGGAGTCTCGATCAAACTCTAACTGCTAATCCATTAAATAACCAAGTTGTTCTCTTTTACAAAAAATGCACATAAGCAAAAGTTAAGCATATTTGAGAGCAAAAATATCAAGTCTGATTTGCAAGCAACATATGCGAGATACAAGTGTGCACGTCTAAAGCTACATGAACTAAGATAGAAGAACCAGTTTCATCATTGTGTTTATTCTAAGTCTAGTTCAATTGTAGTAGGTTTTCATATTGTACCTTTCAGCTTTCTTAGAAGAAATTGTATTAGGTACTCTGAGTATTCAAGTTAGAGTTAACTTGAAAGTGTCACAACAGTTGAGGCTGTGTGCTACACTGGGATTAGAGTTAATCCTTAGGTTTACAAAGAGTTTTGTAAATGCAGTTTTTGGCTCAGTGATTTTAGTGGAGTTTGGGAAAATCCTACTGAGTAGTAGGTCGTGGTTTTTTCACCTTTTGAGCCAGGTGTTTTCCACGTAAAAATCTCTGTGCACTTTACTTTCAGTATTTATTATTCCGCAAACTGCTGTAGTTAGAACACTTAGAAGAACCAGGTTCTTCTAACGCGAAAATTAGGTACCACACAAATCACCCCCCCCCCCCCCTCTTGTGTGGTATTGACGTTTATAACTTCACTTTATCAAGAAGTTTATTTGAAACCGATTTGTCTATATGCTTTAAGCGTACTATAGACTTTGTCCTTCTAGGACTTATTCTAATAGGAGCATTTGCAGTGAGAATATAGTTACTTTCTTTGGGCCAGCAAATGCGTCTGGCATGCAATATATTGCAAATGAATTATCCTTTTATGAACTTCAAGTTCATATTATCTTATTCGAGGATCTAGATGTACAAATGATAATTCATTCCATGTAACGTTTTCTCAACTATTTATCATGTCTCCCCCTCGTGTTAGAAAAACTAACTTGTTTTCCTCAACTTTGAGAACCCATCTTTGTGTGTTATGGTATTAATCAAAATATACCCAGCACATCAATAATAATAAGATGGAATTATTTGATTCCTGACCCTGAACCACTTGTGAGGGGAGAAAATAATATACTTTGGTATATAACGTATACCCAATTGATATAGATAACTTTGTTCTCATAAGCAATTGTTTAGCTATTAAGTAGAGGCACTCAATAAATCATTTTGCTAAACCAATTGTGATGTAAACCAACTTATCAAGATGAACTATCTTGAATAAAAAAAATCTGAAAATTATGCTCTAAATCAAATTATTGAGCAAGTTACCTCGCAAACACCATGTTGCGGGTTAATAATAATCACACATGTAACCATCTCATAGATGCATCTTATGTGGTATACATGGCAGGTGAACGGGCCCATATTCACCTTTGATATTTCCAGCATTCATGGGACTCAATCCCAATTTTAGTTGGTCCATTAATTAATGAGAACAAGCAACATAAGAGGATTCGTAAAGAACTTTCTAGTTCTTTAATATTTACCCACGTGAATTCTCTTTTATTTTTGCACATCATACTTAAATTAACATGGCTAAACCAATTATGCCAACTGCATAAATTATCGATATTGATAAAGTTCGAATTTACACCATGACGTGTGCAATTATTAATAAACTCCAAGTTTATTTTGATGTGGGTTTTTATATCAATAAAAATCCACTTTATTATGGTATTCTTTTATTTGTGTAGTACAAAATGGAGAATAAAGCGGGTAACTTTTCACATACATATTACCCCGATACAAGTTGTAGTAATAGAGGATATTAAATCTTTCCTTTATTTATAGTCTCAATATAATCAACCGCTTTCGCGTATACTTTGGAAACTGAATAAGTTTCTTTGAGACTTACTACAACAATTCTATTTCTCCAAAATAGTAATAATTGGCTCTTCCAGAGCTCTCAATTAATTTGGTACTATCACATATTCATCAACATCAATATGGTGAATATCTCTTTTAAAGAAAAAGTCATACCATTATGGTTATGGTCAAAGTTATATGCAAGATCTATTTCTTGCATTACCGTGTGTGAGCACGTGATTTTTGCCCTATATGAATTACTCCCATAATTTCAAACAAAATAATTTCTTTTCATTATTTGCAATTTTGTGGATTTTCGTGGCATTTTCAGTTAATTGTTTGCATTTGTTTGTGCATGTTTATTTTATTTTAATTAACAAAAAATACAAAAATATATGTGCATTTGCATTTAGGATTTTATTTAATATTCTTAGGATTAGTTAATTAATTGAGTTGTCTTATAAAAGGAAAATCACAAAAATAGTCATTTTGCACCCTTTAATTTTACTTTTCGATTTTTCGAGTAGCTTTTCTTTAATTTATTAATGATAATTATTATTTAGAATTAATTAGCATTTCTGATAGGCTAATTTAGTCTTATAACTCAATTAACTTAATTTAATAAAAAAAAAAGAGAAGAAAGAGGAAGGAAAGAAACATAAGGAATTTAGAAGAGAAATCAGTTTGGGCCATTCCCTAATTAAAACTCGTCAGGCCCAAATATTTTTCGCCCAGACCCGTCCAAATACCCGCCCCAACCCATCTGCCCGTTGACCCGACCCACGCCCATAGATACAACATAACAGATCCTAACCCTAAACGCGTAGAGTGTCTATCTCCTCACGCGAATTAGCAGCAAAATCAGTCCCTAAATTGCCAAATTCAGGCGAGTGAGCATCAAAATTTCTCCTCACGCATTCCTCTTCTCCCCATCACAATGTAACGGTCTCTGACAAAAACGAAAGATTCGTTCCCAAATGCGTTGCTCACCTCCTGACCGATTGGTTGGGTAAATGGGGGTCGTGGATGGATGAAAATGTATCCTCGCCCTCCATCTGTCCAAAAAATCGTTCGTAGAAGGGGGATTGCAAGGAATTTCGGGTTGGGGGTGGAAGATTCGAGTGAAAATCAAGGGATATATATCTAGGTGTTTTCAGTTCATTTGGTGGAGATTTTTCTGATACTGGAACACGAAAATGACTGAGGGTGCGGTTATCTCATTTTTTTCGATTATTGTTTAGAGTTTTTTGTATTTTTGAGACCTCTAGAGCTCATCTTTTCGTTATAATTCTGGATTTTTGGGGTAAAAATGGAAGTCATTTGAAGTTGAATCTGTTGCTGCTCGAGGACTGTTGCTTAGCTGTTGGTTATTCTCTTTTGGTCAATTTCAATGTTGTGACGAATTCAGTTTAATTCCAGGTTTATTTCTCTTCTTCATTTTAGTTCCCGTTGTAAGTCGATCTCTGAATGAGCTATAAGATGGATTGAAGTTTGAAATATTGACTGAGATTTGCGTATTTGTCCTAAGCTAATTTCACTGCTCTATTTTTTTTTTTTGAAACTAGCTTCTTCTCTGATTTCATATGTGTGCTGGGAGTGTTCAGATGATCCTC